GGGGGCTCTCCCCCGGGGGGGGGGGGGGGGGTAGAGAGAAGAGGACCTGTCACCGGCTTCCGGAGGCAGGTGTTTCAATAGCATTGCTTTGTACTGCACTCCGGAGAGTGTTGGTGCTATTGAAGGCAACAGAAGCCATGAGCAGTATTAATATAATGGGGAGCTCAGTGCAGAAACATGTACGGTTAGCTCCCATGTATGCCCTCACTTTGCACAACGCCACGGACTGTGCAGGCGCTATAGAGATTAATAGTGTTGTTATAATGGGAGCCCAGGCCAGATAGAAGAGCAATTGCCTGCTCAGTATGTCCTCGCTTTGTACAGCGCCACGGACTGTGCAGGCGCTATAGAGATTAATAGTGTTATTATAATGGGAGGCCAGATAGACGAGCAATTGCCTGCGCAGTATGTCCTCGCTTTGTACAACGCCACGGACTGTGCAGGCGCTATAGAGATTAATAGTGTTATTATAATGGGAGCCCAGGCCAGATAGAAGAGCAATTGCCTGCTCAGTATGTCCTCGCTTTGTACAGCGCCACGGACTGTGCAGGCGCTATAGAGATTAATAGTGTTATTATAATGGGAGGCCAGATAGACGAGCAATTGCCTGCTCAGTATGTCCTCACTTTGTACAACGCCACGGACTGTGCAGGCGCTATAGAGATTAATAGTGTTATTATAATGGGAGCCCAGGCCAGATAGAAGAGCAATTGCCTGCTCAGTATGTCCTCGCTTTGTACAGCGATATGGAATATGCCGGTGATATACACGTCTGTAGTGATCACTGGCAATTATACTGAAAGTCTTTCTGGTCAGGGTTCCCATTATCTCCCCTGTATGTACAGCGCTATAGGCTGTGCAGGTGCTATAGAGGCCTCACTAGCAATAAAATGAGTCTGTGCAATCAAATACTATCATCTGCCCGGTGTGTCTTCACTGTGTACAGCGCTATGGTAGGTGTTGGCATACCAGCCATTTGGGAAGGATGTCCCCTCTACTCCCATGTGCTTCCAATACAAAACAAGTCGCTGCACCATTGTATCACTTTGTACGGCGCTACAGTCGATGTTGGCGCTACAGAGGGCAGCGGTCTGGCTCTCTGGACTGGGCTCCCGTCATATTTCCCTCGTCGCTTTGTACAGCGCCACCGACCATGTTGGTGCTATATTAGGCGATGCGTGGTTCTCCGGACCGGGCTGCCAATAAAGCACCATGACGTAGCCCTGTATGTCTTCACTTTGTACATCGCTTTGGCAGATGCTGGCGCTATAGAATGCAATATAAATGGCTCACTGGGCAGGACTCCCATTATTAGATCATTTGTTGCCATGTATGTCCTCACTTTGTACCGCGCCATGGATGATGCAGGTGCAATGTAAAAACCAATAAAACCCCCAAAAACTAGTAATATAACTCCCCGAGCTGGGCTCCCGGTTTATTATTACTCCACCTTCCATGTCCTCACTTTGTACAGCGCTACTGAAGATGTCGGCGCTATATGTATCAAGCTATTAGTTACATAAGATCTCCACTTACACCAATTCTTAGTCCTGATTGGAGGAGCTTCTGCCTTTCTGTATTAAAGGAGAACTATGGGGTCAGGGCTTTCCCCCATAGTTCTCCTTAGGGTAACGGGAGGAGTCAAACTAGCGTCCTCCCGTCACCCTAAGCCCAGTATATAGCGGGCTACAGCTCGCGGTATACTGAGACGCCGCAGTGGACCCTGACAACGATGTCTGGATCCGCCCAGCTGCGCGAGTGACAGCTGGCTCTGCCTATCTAGAGGCAGAGCCAGCTCTACCCGCCCCGTCCGTTCCATACACATTCTGCCTGTTCTCCTAATTCGGATCTCCCTGCCGGGCCTGACACCGGGCCGTTGATGTGTCCCATGCACAGTTTGGTTGATGTGTCTGTGTTCACACTTTGATGTTTGCAGTCAGGTTTTTTGTCCAGTATGTTTGGGATTCCCTGCAGGCAGGAAGGAGGGCACTGTGGGAGTCAGCTGACAGGAAGGAGGGTTCTGCAAGGGTCAGTCGGCGGGAAGGAGGGAGGGTTCTGCAGGGGTCAGGAAGGAGGGAGGGTTCTGCAGGGGTCAGGAAGGAGGGAGGGTTCTGTGCAAGGGTCAGTCGACAGGAAGGAGGGCTCTGTGGGGTCAGCTGGCAAGCAGGAAGGGAAGGCTCGGCAGGAAGAAGGGAGGGCTCTACAAGGGTCAGCTGGCAGGAAGAAGGGAGGGCTCTGCTGGGGACAGCTAGAAGGAGGGCTCTACAAGGGTCAGCTGGCAGGAAGGAGGGTGGGGTCAGCTGGAAGGAGGGCTCTGTGGGGGTCAGCTGGCGGGCAGGAAGGGAGGGCTCTACAAGGGTCAGCTGGCAGGAAGGAGGGTGGGGTCAGCTGGAAGGAGGGCTCTGTGGGGGTCAGCTGGCGGGCAGGAAGGGAGGGCTCTACAAGGGTCAGCTGGCAGGAAGGAGGGTGGGGTCAGCTGGAAGGAGGGCTCTGTGGGGGTCAGCTGGCGGGCAGGAAGGGAGGGCTCTACAAGGGTCAGCTGGCAGGAAGGAGGGTGGGGTCAGCTGGAAGGAGGGCTCTGTGGGGGTCAGCTGGCGGGCAGGAAGGGAGGGCTCTACAAGGGTCAGCTGGCAGGAAGGAGGGTGGGGTCAGCTGGAAGGAGGGCTCTGTGGGGGTCAGCTGGCGGGCAGGAAGGGAGGGCTCTACAAGGGTCAGCTGGCAGGAAGGAGGGTGGGGTCAGCTGGAAGGAGGGCTCTGTGGGGGTCAGCTGGCGGGCAGGAAGGGAGGGCTCTACAAGGGTCAGCTGGCAGGAAGGAGGGTGGGGTCAGCTGGAAGGAGGGCTCTGGGGGTCAGCTGGCGGGCAGGAAGGGAGGGCTCTACAAGGGTCAGCTGGCAGGAAGGAGGGTGGGGTCAGCTGGAAGGAGGGCTCTGGGGGTCAGCTGGCGGGCAGGAAGGGAGGGCTCTACAAGGGTCAGCTGGCAGGAAGGAGGGTGGGGTCAGCTGGAAGGAGGGCTCTGGGGGTCAGCTGGCGGGCAGGAAGGGAGGGCTCTACAAGGGTCAGCTGGCAGGAAGGAGGGTGGGGTCAGCTGGAAGGAGGGCTCTGGGGGTCAGCTGGCGGGCAGGAAGGGAGGGCTCTACAAGGGTCAGCTGGCAGGAAGGAGGGTGGGGTCAGCTGGAAGGAGGGCTCTGTGGGGGTCAGCTGGCGGGCAGGAAGGGAGGGCTCTACAAGGGTCACCTTGCAGGCAGGATCCTATAACCGGCTCTGAGGAGCCCGCCCACTGCTTGCATCAGGGGTGAGGGCTTTTGAGAGAAGTACTGAGGCCGGATGCTATGATGTTGTCAGGAAGCTATGTGCAGCACCCTGCCACCCCTCCCACCAGCCATGATCTGCCCGCATTGCATAGAGAAGTGCAAAGACTCAGCGATGACATAATTAGGAATAAAATAAAGTATTTAATGAAAACGGAAAGGTTTCATCTAAAAATGCCATTAGAATGTCAGTGGGGGAAGGGGGAACCAGATGTTCTATTGCCCCGTGCAGGTAAAGTTGTACCGTTTTCACAATGACGCACGAGCATTGAATTCCCATTCATGTGACCATTCTCCTCCGCCGTCTTTCAGGGTGATTTGGGTCCGTTCAATCCCGGCCTGCCTGTCCAGGTCCCTCTCTGGATGGCCATCAATCTGAAGCAGAGGCAGAAATGTCGCATCGTCCCCCCGGATTGGATGGATGTGGGTGAGTGGAGTTTCTTGCCCTTTGATTGGTAGAGGGAGAATCAGAATAACGGCCGCCTGTTGGTCACATCTCCGCTCAGAGACCCCATTAAAGTGGACCTGTAACGTCACAAGTCTGCACCTCTCTATCTCTGTACTGCTTAGACTTTTTTTCTTTTCTCTTTTATACCATTTGTATCCTTTTTCTTTGTGTCCATCTTTAACTCCAGATATGTAGGGGGGGGGGGGGGCCCGACGCTGTTCAGAGACAGCCTCACGATGCGCTACATACTTTCCATATCAGATCTGCAAATGTTTCCAACGTCAAGGCACCGCCTACCCAACCGTCCGCCAGCACCGGTTATAAATGGCGGCTGGTAGCAAGGGTTTTAAAACAGTATTTAGGCCTTACAAGCAGACTGCCTGATGGAAGGCACCCCATTACTTTCATACCCCCCCCTAAAGAAATGCTCACTCCCCCTCCCCCCACTATTACTGCCCTCGACCATGTATCCTGGGCTCTACTACTGCCCCTCCTGCGAACCACCTGGTATGGGCATGGTGGGTGGAGCAGAGAGGAACCAGGGAATGTCTGTTCAAGGATCTCGTCTCCAGTGAATGACTCTGGAAGTGACGAGGATTTTGTCACTCTCGGGCTCAGAGTAATTCCCTGGCTGCTGTGGCCAAGCAAGTAAGGTCTGCGGTTGATCAGCTTCAGAGGTGACATTAGGAGTCTAATAGGCCCCTGATGCCTCCTTTTTAAAGGGTAATTCCATTTTCCCAGGCGAATTTGGGAGAATGGAATTACACCCACCAGCCTGCTCCCTCTCCCCCCTCCCGCTGCTCTTTCCTCTGAACATACACTGCTTCCTCTATGCGGCTGCTGGTGTTGGATCTGTCCCCCGTACACCGCATTGCAGCCCTGCACAATGTATTTCAAATGACACTTGCAAACGGCGAGCACTCCTTGGTCACTGCGGCCAACCTGACCAATGACAAGCGCTTCTGACCGCTCTGACCAATAACAAATGAGATGACGAGGAAGCATGAAGCCAGCTTCCCGGCCAATCGGAAAGCAGGGCGTCGCGTCGTTACACGGCGCCCGGCTTCCTGATTCGACGGCTCCGGCTGGCTACCGGAGAGAGGCCCCGGGGGTGACAGGCTGCACATAACAGGTCCCTCTCTGGATGGCCATCAATCTGAAGCAGAGGCAGAAATGTCGCATCGTCCCCCCGGATTGGATGGATGTGGGTGAGTGGAGTTTCTTGCCCTTTGATTGGTAGAGGGAGAATCAGAATAACGGCCGCCTGTTGGTCACATCTCCGCTCAGAGACCCCATTAAAGTGGACCTGTAACGTCACAAGTCTGCACCTCTCTATCTCTGTACTGCTTAGACTTTTTTTCTTTTCTCTTTTATACCATTTGTATCCTTTTTCTTTGTGTCCATCTTTAACTCCAGATATGTAGGGGG